GACTGTGCTTATTTCTGCACATCCTCACCAACACTTGGTATTACATATCTCTCTTATTATGCCCCTCTAGTGAGTGTATAGTGGCATCTCATATCTTCTTTTTATTGAAGTATAGTTGACATACAATATTAAATTAGTTGTAGGTGTACAACATAGTGATTTAACATTTATCTGCCTTACAAAATTATCATCAGAATAAGTCTAGACCCTGACACCATACATAGTTCTTACAATATTATTGACTACATTCCCAATACTGTACTTTACATTCCCACGATTATTTCATAGCTGTCAATGTGTACTTCTTAATTCCTTCATTTTTCTCACCCATCCCCTCCTCTCTCCTCCCATCAGGCAATCATCAGTTTGTTCTCTGTATCTATGAGTTTGTTTCTGTTCTGTTTGTTCATTTATTTTGCTTATTGGATTTCACATATAAGTGAAATCGCATGGTATCTGGCTTTCCCTGTCCTACTTATTCAACACAGGGGTGATATTTTTTTTACTTCAAAATCCCCCAGGAAAAGAGACTTTCAGATAATCACAATGAATGCTAAGCAGGCAATTTACAAGGCTTAGTGGAAATAAAGATCTAGTGCGCACAAGAGAACAGAAGCAAATGTTAGCACCTCTGTTTTCCAGGTTGGGGGATGGAGATCAGTGACACACAGAAAGGCCATGCAACCTGCCTGAGGTCCACAGTGAGCCTCTGGCATGGGCAGGGCTGTGGCAGGTCTTCCTCCTTCCACCCCAGTGTACCGAGAGGTAGAAGGGTCCAAAGGGGATCCCTCTCCTCCCTCCACCTTCCCAGCACCACTAAGTTGCCTTCTCCCACTGCCTCTGGTGTGCTTTGCCAGCTGGAAAAAAAGGGCAGGACTATCTCCAGCAAGACAGCTGTGCCCAAAACAGTAGACAACCATCACCAAAGCTTCCCTCAAGTCAGGAATGGAGGTCCACACCCAGCCTGACTCCTCAAGAGCCTAAGGAGAAGGCACTTCCCATGTCACCGCGCAGAGGTGCATCTGTCTAGGTAGTCAGACCACAGGGCCTACAGCAGCACAGAAGGCTGCCTCTCCTTTGCTGGGGCAGCTTCCTGTGCACACCTCCACGCAGGCACTTTTTACGTCTCCTGCAATGCTCTGTCCACAGCATTGCTTCACCTGGGAGCTCCTCCAGGGCAGGGATTGGTCTCATTTGCCTTTTTCTTATTATTTCTTAACAAAGGGCTCAGTGTATAATAACCACTAGGAAATGCTTCTTGAATGAGAATGACGGATCCCATCTTCTTTTTGATATGGGCTACCAGGTGGCCCAGAAACAGTTTCCAGATGACTTCACACCAGGCAGTGACTTCTCAATATGCCACTGAAGTGGGCCGTGGTCAAGTGCTTGGGCTTTAGAGCCTAGAGCCCAACTGCTTGGGTCTGAGTCCCAGCCTTGCCACCAGTGTGACCTCCTATAACTATGGAAACCTCCTGTGCCTTATTCCCTGACCTGCTAAGTGGGGCTGAGGATGATGATACCATTTACCCAGGGGTCACTGATAAATATATGGAAAACAGTGTTTTTGCATGTAGCTACCTGTAAACATTAGCACACGCACTTTGCATTCCAGCATGCCCATCGCTTCTGGGTAGGTAGTTGCTCAATAAATGTTAACAAACAGAAGACAAGGCATTGAGAGAGGAACAGAAAGACTTAGTCATTGCTGACTGAAGTTACTTGTTGGTCATCATATACTTTGTCCTTAGGTGGTTCTGCTGAAAAGATCTTATGGGTTTCATTGAGGGCTGTAACTTCTCTAAGCATGGGATCATCACTATAATTAGCATTTTCCCGACATTCCCTGGGAACTTTGTGTTCACTGCCCTTCTTCCTCTCTTTAGGCTGTTAGTGCCCTGGTAATGCCTGGGCAATCCCTTCTGGTTTACCACCATGGCCTGCCTCACCAAAACTTACCAAACGTTCCCCATTGCCAGCTCCTTACACTTGGCTGCCCAGAGGTACTGGTATACTCACAAGCCTTTCCTCAATAACTTCCAAATAACCGCCCTTTCTTTTAACCAACGTCTCCTGGAGGCATCAAAGCTCGGGAAATTTACTTTAAAGACAAAAACCACATGCTATTGGAGAGAAATATTTTGAAGAAAAGAAGACTTTTCATGTCCTTCGGATCAGATTCCAGGTGCAGAATCCACCCTGGTGCCCAGCACTGTGTGGCTGCCAAGCTCCAGACCAGAGCGAGTGAGGCTGTGCTGTGTCGTAAATGAAGAGCTTGAATGATTCAGAGTATGGTTTGTGAGGTAACTTCTGTGTTTGAGGGAGGAGATAGGTAATAGACAATACTTATGGTGGGTGGGGAGGGAAGGGGGAACCTCAGAGCAAATAGTTTTGTTCTTGGAATGCCACCTGTGCTCATAAGGCAAGCAAAAATGGGACAATTGCTCTTTTCTGAAAGAAAGTTTTTTTTAACTCTGGGGAACCAGAAGCCAGTCCTCTCTCAGGAGGTTTGAGTGAAAGGGGCAGTTCTAGATAAGAAGTCCTTTTGAGACTAAATTACTGATGCTGTGGCAAAAGGCTGAAGAAGACATAAGACGATTTTGATGTCAGTCTTTTGAGTATATTTTGAGCATTTTCTCAATCAGTTTTACGTTTTCTAAAATCCTGAATGAGAACTCTTGGGACCAGGAAGAGGACTTGAAGCATGCTTCTGGAAGAAATGATGGGGAACTCAAGAGGTTAAAATGTTTAGCTTTCATTATACAGTTAATAGGCTTGGTGGTTAATGCACCTAGAAGGCTGTTGTTCCAGGAACAGAAATGTATGACTGGACCTACCAAGACTCCAGGACATCCGCAAGCAATTCGACCTTTGTGCCCCAGGTGATCAAGACGATATCTGAGCCACTGAGCTCCAAGGAGAGAATGTCACCCACCCAGGACGCAGATAAAGGATCACCAGGCGGCAGATGAAGGGGAATCAAATGGCTGGACTGCAGCTTTTATCTGATGAACCTTTTCCCTGAATTACAAACCTCTTACCTAATTTCTCCTGAATCCCAAATGTCTTTTACTTACACTTTTCTTGTCCTTATAAAAAAGGTCGACTCGAGATGAGATGGAAGAGGGTACATAGCCATGGTCTTTTAGGGTATATAACTGTGGTCTGTTCAGGTCGCCAGCCATCTGAATAAAGCGCTCATAAAGAATCAATCCTCATCTCTACTCATTGGTTCTGGTAGTGACAGGCAGTAGGAACGCGACTTTTCAGGTTTCAGAACCAACAAATGCTCCTGATTGACAAGTCACGGGCATCTGAGAGAAGACACAGGGATTGGTTTCCCAGTTGATCTTGGTTTAGTTGTGCTTTAATATTAGCAGAACTCTTAAAGATAAGCAAAGAAGTATTTTGACAGTAACTTAGACCTTCTGAATACAAATTCGATTACTGTTTAGGTAAGTTGTTGGAGAAGATCACGGAGAGGACAAGACCTCCTCCCTGTTGACCCTCAGGCTCAACCCAGGCTCCTCCCTGCCTCTCCTATTCTGGGAACGTGCATTCTGCTTGCCTTCCTCATGTTAGAAGCTGCCCAAGGACACAGCCTTGAGATAATAATGTGTGGTTGAAACCTTCTGGACAGTACACGTGCCTAAACCCAGCTAAGGCCTCTAATTAGTGGTTTGTGGTTATTAGGATGTCAAGAAACTTTAAGATTCTTGTGGGAAGGTGCTGAAATCTACTCATCTTGTGGCTGCTGAAGACAAGCAGAGTAGGTAAGTTCCTTTGCTTATTAAACCGTCACTTACCCACCTAGAGTGGTCTGCGTCCCTCTGCGGTCTCTCCCTGCCTTCTGTATGTATGGGGCCTGGTTTCATATTCCACCTCAGAAGATCCTGAGGTGGCAAACTAACAGAAATTTTAAAAGGTGATATGAGGATGTCAGGTGGGTACTAAACTTCGGAGTGATCACTTTGTAAATTATATAAATGCTAGTGAGTTATACAAATGTTGTACACCCGAAACTAATATACTATTGTATGTCAACGGTAGGTGAAAAATAAAAATAAAATAATCAATCAATAAAAAAATAAGTAACAGGTGATCTGAGGCATAAATTACTTTTTTATTGACCACCTACTCTGTGCCAGCACTGTCTGGCGAGGTACTTTATGTAATCTCTGGACCTCCCAACGAGGAATAGAGTTGAGCAGGTAGCACTACCTTCATTTTACAGTTAAAAACACTGAGGCATTGAGAACTTGGCTGACTCCTGTGATTGACAGGTTTCAGAGGCTCGATCCACAAACCCAGCCCTCCGAGGTCAATGAGAAATGACTATCAGTTAGCATGCTCTCATTTTTATTTAAATATACACACTTATACACAAATAGGGGGGAAATATAGATGGATGTTAAGCCAGAATGTTCTCAGTGGTTATTATTTGAGTGGTGAAATTATAGGTGATTTTCTTTTATATTTTTTACATGTACTTTAAAAATTTTCAACAATGTACATGAATTACTTGAGTAGAAATTATTTTTTTATTGATTTCAGAGAGGAAGGGGGAGAGAGAGAGATAGAAACATCAATGATGAGAGAGAATCATTGATTGGCTGCCTCCTGCATGCCCCCTACTGGGGATTGAGCCCAAACCCAGGCATATGCCCTAGAGCGGAATCAAACCCAGGATCCTTCAGTCCAAAGGCTAATACCCTATCCACTGAGCCAAACCAGTTAGGGCAGGGTGTTTACTTTTGTGCACAGTATATTCTACCACAACAGCCTATGCACAAGCCCATCCACTAACCTAACCGTCTGTCTATCCATTCAAGCATTTACTAAGCAGCGTCCATGTACCAAGTACTGAGTGCTAAATATACTGATGGCTTATATAATAAGCACACTGAACCCCATGTAGGAAAACAATGAAGCAAGGGCTCCAAAGCTTTGGGGAAAGTTTAGTCTCAATAAATTTACTTAGAATATTTCAATTAGAAAAATCTTCAAATGAATTAGTCTAATCAATATGCATGAATTTTATGTTGGCCTAGTGTTGTCTTTACCTTGAATTACAAACAGAGGATGAGTATACTACAGTATTTGTGGTACTTGAACCTTCTATAGGTCTTAATTCTGCTTTGGCTAAGTGCTGAGGAAGCACGGAGAGAGCCATCAGTTTTTTAAATGCAACTTGGAGTGTGAGATGTTTGGATAGATGTGACTTCAATGTGGGTACAAAGGAGGATGGTGAGTTCTGGGGTGGGCAGTGCTGGAAGGTATGGAAAGCCTTCCTAGAAGAGGTCACACTGGAGCTGACTCTGAAAAGGAGCCTTAGCTGATTGACTTGGCTTGAAGGGAAGAATAAGGAAGACGTTTCACAGAAAAGACACAAGGATGCAGGCTGGGAATCAGTAAGAGGGGTGGTAGGAGACGTTAGGAGATGGGTGTTGGGAGGAAGAGGTTGGAGGCAAGAGCAGGAGCCAGAACACAAAGACCCTTACACGCAGCACATCTGAGTGTGGACCCTTGCCCCACAGGTCATTTTCCCACTGCGCCCAGCACTGAGGGCCTTTCCCTCACCAGAGGGACAATGAATGTCTGCAGGAGTGACTTTAGCACTGCAGAAGGGAGTCTCTGCGTGTCCCTAGTCCAATGACGTGTATGTGTGTGCATGTGTATGGTGGGAGGTCAATAGCGGGGTCCGGAGCCTCACCTGCTCACTGGGCTCACAGGTGTGCCCACAGTCTCCAATCAGCTCAGCTTGTGCCTCGTGATTTCATGGCAGCCCCCTCTTTACACTTTAGCTCACCTCTCTCCCCGTCACGTTCAAGTCTTCTCTCCTTCACCCCGTTTTCCTATTCCTTACAAATGAAGATCTGAAAACATCCTTCAGAGGAAAACAGAGAACATCTTCTCTTTGCCTTCGGTTCAGTTTTGAAGCACAGGTTACCCCTCCTCCTTATAAGCAGCTCTTGGTCCCAGGCTTCAGCCTCATCCTTCCAGAGTCAAGGGCAACATCAGCTTCTTCCCCCAGTGCCTCCTCAGCACCCGCAGGCCATGCTCACTCCATATCATTACTTTGCATTTAATTCATGTCACTTTTAAACATTTAAAATATTTTCTTGTCCATTTTCTTTTCCCAAATAGATTGAAAATGCTCCTGAGAAATGTCCAATATCTTTCTTCTTTTTAGATTTCTCACAGTTGTATGATGTGCCTAGCAGGCCCTTAATAATACATTCCTCTGGTTTCAATGAGAAAAATCTACAAATGAATTAGTCTAATCAATATACGCATGAATTTTATGTTGGCCTAGTGTTGTCTTTTTTAAAAAAATATATTTTATTGATTTTTTATAGAGAGGAAGGGAGAGAGATAGAGAGTTAGAACCATCGATGAGAGAGAAACATCAATCAGCTGCCTCCTGCACACTCCCCACTAGGGATGTGCCCGCAACCAGGGTACATGCCCTTGACCGGAATCGAACCTGGGACCCTTCAGTCGGCAGGCCGACGCTCTATCCACTGAGCCAAACCGGTTAGGGCCCTAGTGTTGTCTTTATCTTGAATTACATATAGAAGATGAGTATACTATAGTATTTATAGCACTTCTCTAGCTTTATTTATTATATATGCTGTTTTCTTATTTTGTGTGATTTTATTATAAGTAACATTTTGGGGAACAGGTGCAAAAATTTCCCATGTTGCTAAAATGAAAACAGTGCTTCTTGCTTTTATGAACAAAGAACTACTCTGTACGGCCACAAGTCCCCATCCTCCCTGGACACTGGAGTCTTTCATCTTCAGATGGTCATTGAGATCTGAGAGAATGACCACAAGGGATTCTGACTCTGAACACAGAGGAATAATTCATAAAAAGTCTTAACTCTCAAAGCAATCTTTCCACAGAAAATGAGCCAGCTAGAAATGCATTCATATTTGAGAACCAGGACCCTGAAAAGACTAATATTTATTTTGGACATTTAGAACTGATGAGTCCAAGGTGACAACACTAAAACTCTTGATATACAGCCTTCATTATCATAACCTATGAAAACTCATTATTCCCACCACCAGCCAATACAAAATTTTCTAGCTGGCCACACAGAGCAATAACTGGTAACCCCAAATCCAGAACACAGAACTTACCCATTTTTTTAGATTTTTTCAATTACAGTTTACATTTGATATTATTTTGTATTAGTTTCAGGTGTACAGAATAGTGGTTAGACAATCATATATTTCACAAAGTGGTTAATCTGTTCTTTACCAATGCAGAATTTACCAAAGCAAAGTCAGCAATTCTAGTGGAAGTATAAATGGGTTTACTGATTTTTTGGAAGGCAATTTGGGAACCCTTCGATTGCTCATGTCCTTTGACCTTTACACAACATTTCTGAGATCAGCACACAAAAACATCTTATACACATGGAAGTAAGACCCTAAAAATGTAGTGCACTATGGAGTTTATTCCAACTCTATTTATAAGAGCCAACACACACACATACACACATGGAAACCATACAGATGTTAAATAATAAGAGAATATCAATGGGATTTTATTGTTTTTTATGTGATAATTACAAAGTAATTCTTTATGATTTAAGAAACTGTTTACAATGCAATTTTATTTGGAAAAAGATATAAAATTGCCATGCAAAAATTCATACTAAAAAGACTTATTAATATAATAAGGGTGATGGAATTATGGGTGTTTCTCCACTATGTTTTATATATTTTACAATATAATGTATTGCTTTACTTATAAAAAATCATTTTAAGAGGATATTTAAGGAGTGTTTGTATGACCATGAAAAGTGTTTATGTTTAATATTTAGTAAAATGCTGTGTAAAGATTTAAGAGAATTATCCGTGATCCCAGATACATAAAAGAAGAGGAGACAAAAAGAATAAGAAGAAACAAAACAAATAAATAACAAATATTTTAAAAGTTTATCTTCTTTAGAGAGTTTTGCATAGTTAGAAACTAAAGGTAATTTTTTATCTTCCCCTCTACTTTTCTCTTTTCCACAATATTAAATCAACGAGAATATCTATTTTTAAAAAATCAATAATGATTTAAATACTAAAGGTGGA